GGTGGTAGCATCATGCTTTGGGGGTGTTTTTCTGCACATGGGACAGGGCAACTGCACTGTATTAAGGAGAGGATAACCGGGGCCATGTATTCTGAGATTTAGGGGAATAACCTCCTTTTCTCAGTTAGAGCATTGAAGATGAGTGGAGGCTGGTTCTTCCAATGTGACAATGACACGAAGCTCACAGCCAGGATGACCAAGGAGTGGCTCTGGAAGAAGCATATCTAGGTTCTGGCGTGGCCAGTCTCCAGACCTAAACCCAACAGAGAATCTTTGGAGGAAGCTCAAACTCTGCGTTTCTCAGCGACAGCCCAGAAACCTGACTGATCTAGAGAAGATCTGTGTGGAGGAGTGGGCCAAACTCCCTCCTACAGCGCAAGCCTGATAAGAAACTACAGGAAATGTTTGACCTCTGGAATTGCAAACACAGTTTACTATGCCAAATATTAACTTTGATTTTTTTCAGATGTTCAAATACTTATTTGCAGCTGCATCACATGGAGAATAGTAAAAAAAAAAAATCTGATTTCTGGATTTTTTTTAAAATTTAGATTATGTCTCTCATAGTGGACATGCACCTACCATGACAATTTTTGACTCTCCATGATTTCTAAGTGGAAGAACTTGCAAAATAACAGGGTGTTCAAATATTTATTTTCCTCACGGTAAATGGAAAAGGCAAAACACAACAGCAAAAGGGATTAAAATGCAAATGAAAAAGATATTGGCTATAAAAAAAGGGAAATGTGTTTGAAAATGTTTGATAAGGAAAGGTATTTATAATCAGATCTGTGGATTTTAGTATACAAATCTCCAATTAGAAATAGGATTTGAAAATATATTTTCAAATTGCAGTTTTTAATAATGAAATAGATTTACAAATGGTCTTTCATAATTCAATTTAAAATGTCCCATTACAAAATTATATAAAAAAAAAATGTATTTTTAATAACTGTATCTTTTCATATTCCTACCTGTTATGCGTTTTGTCTTCATGTTCTGCATCTAAAATAATTTACATACTAGACTATGGATTATAACAAAAATCAGGGTCCTCTGCAATGAACATAACCTGCATCCATGTCAGCTGTAAAAACAAGTTTTACTATTCAAATACACGTCCTTGAAGAAGTGTGAGGAGTCGCTCCACTAAGACGTTTAGGTGAAGGTATGGAGCACAAGAAGTCTGATTTAGCTCTCTTTAGATGACCTCTGTGATTTCCTTACATCTCAGGGTCAGGATGACTGGTACTGATGCTGACATGTACATCTGCATTATCCTGTATGGTAAGCCTATGGGAGGATTCTGGTCCCTGATTGGTTTGATGAGCATATTGGAATTAAAATTCAAGAGGTTCTGTAAACAAATCAAATACTAAGAGTAAAGTAGATATTTCTTTGTAAATATATTAATCACTGGGAACAATGCTAAAGGTGGCAAATTTATGCATTTATTTCAAATAAAATATTGATTTCACATGAACCATGGAAGAACTGTGTTTTTATTTACTATGTCCATCTGAGACAATTATTCATTGCAAACATCACTGATGTTGCCATAGCAACAATAAACCAGTCATTTTTAACAATCTGTCAGTGAGCGCTTGTTTTCATGCAGGATGTGCTGCAGCTGCATCCCACATACTTTACATTAATAAATACCGTTATATTTGGGTTTTCTGGATGTAAAGTGAACATTTTAGAAGCACAGTGAAAAAGTTGCCCAGAGATCCTCTGATCAGAACTGAACTGATTAAAGCAGCACTTTTTATTTCTTTCCTAAATGTTTGTAGAGATGAGCTGTTAAACCATCTGAACACTTAGATGTTTGTTTCTGTTTTTTTTTAAACTTCCTCCATCCATATATTCATAGTTTTCATCAGTTTCTAAAACCCAGAATGATATATTTGATGTAGATTAACCTTTATTAGTGTGACCATTCCTCTCCATTCATTAACAGACAAGAAGATGCATTTTTTTGTCTTCCATTTTCCAGCCTGATAAAAGGAAGCAGACAAACCAGGGTTCGGTCCAGTACAAATATTTATTCTGATACAAAGAGTGACTGTGACGGCAGTAACAGCAGAACCTGTTTGTCCAAATCTACAAAAATAAAGGATTTCAGTAGAAAACAGCAGACAGCTGCTGGGCCCTTATATCCTCACAGTTTGTTTTTATTTTAACACTCCAAGGTTTTAAGGAGTCTGCAGGAATCACAGCGCTGACCCATGATCCTCAGCAGCAGGCCGCCGGCCAATCAGGTTCAAGCTCATAGCAGTTATTCTTTACAGACTTGTTAAAAATATTGAAACAATAAATTAAAAAGGAGATGCTGTAACCTTTATACAGGAAACTGAAGCCAAATGTAACAAAATCCTCTGATCTTACAGTTTTCATCCACTTCTCCTTCCACACAGATTCATCTCTTAGTTTGATATCATCTGGTTTGGACTAAATGTTCACATCTTGAAGCATTTAGTTAATTAGTTTGTTAACGAAGCTGTAAAAACTTCACTAAATCTGTTCATATTTGCATCACTATTGTTGTTAAAGTTCTTTTGAACTTTTAGTTTAAAGCAACCTAAAGTTTCCTCGATGCCATCGTAGTTTGGATTCCGTTAAAATTGTTCTTCCTGTCTGCTTCACAGAAACGCTTCATTTCATTAGCAGATCTCTAAAGTATTTACCGCTCTTAAAATGCCAGTTTAGTGATGTAAAAATGAGACCATGATACATTATTTAAAATAATTTCCACATTTAATGTGTGATTTATCTTGCTTAACTTCAAACTAACATCCTTAACCTAAACTCTGCTGAAGCTTTGATCCAGTTGCAGATTTCAGTCTCTGTTGGTTAGAATCAATCAGCCAGATTTCTAAAATTTCTCCAGATTTGTCAGATTGTGAAGACGTCTCTTCTTCACTGCCCTCCTCGGATCATTTCCAGTCAGGTTATGTTCTGGACTTTAACTAGGCCGTTCTAAACCCTGATTTCCCCTCCATGAAATCGTCCTTTAGTTGTTCTGAATGTAGGTTTGGTCTCACTGTGATGTTGGAAAATTAAATCCTTCAAATTCAGCTTTCGTGCTTCCATCATTGTTTCACTGTTATTTTGGTTTTATTCAGTGCAGACTGGGTTTAATTAAGGTTTTTGGACCGAATTTGAGGCTTGGTTTTATCGCACTGCATAAATAAGTTTCAGCCTGGCTTCCATATTCTCTTTAAAATAAAACATTTCTGTTCTTCAATCTCTCTCCTTGGTCCAGACATGTGGGGATGATCGTCTCAGGTGAAACAGAACCAGAACTGTTCTGGAAGTTCCTGCCGCCCCTTCAGTGTTTGTGGACCTGTAGACTCCTCTCCTAGTACTTCCTTTCATCTTTTTATGTGATTTGGACAAACTTCCTGTTTTCCCTTTTTGTATTACTTGGGGGGTTTTCTTCTGACTGATATCTTTAAACACTGAAATCATCTGATCCTCTGGAACCTCTAATGGATTTTAGCTAAATAATGAAGGTGAGTAAATGTGAGGAAAATCCACCCAGAAAAGCAGAACTTCTCCTTCAGATTCATCAGATTCCCTGTACCTGTCCGCAGGTCTAAAACCTGGGTGCTCAAACTGGACCTCAGGTTGCCTCTAAATGTTAGAGGCTGCACAAACTTATGCAAATTGGTCACTTCAGAATTTCACAAATTCATTTTTCTTCACTTCACCATCAGATTAGTTTGTGTTTCTGTTGAATTGTTCACGATAAATGTCACATTAAATGTATATAAACTTAAAAATGGTTCATCATCATCACTAAAAGCTGACATTTTTCCTGGCGTGTGTAAAATTTTCATCTTAGTTTAAAGCTAACTACTCATATTAAAAAGAAAATCCACATCCTTCAATATAAAATAAATCTTCACCTTTAAACATTTGACTAATTTTATGCAGGATGTTTTTAACCTCAAACTGCCTGGAATAAAAATGTTGAGTTTTCAGCCTGAAAATCAAAATCCTCCCAAATGATGAGATCAGCTGATGAGGGAGCAGCAACTTTAACTGAGGAAAATGTTGATGATGTCATATTCCTGATGGATCCGTGCTGCAGGCGGCGCCTTCATTCAGACCCAATCATCAGCGGTTGGTTCCGTTCGCTGCCGTCCGCTCTCCATGAAGGGGTCAGACTCTGCTGCTGATTGGCTGATGGAGAGTGGACGCTGCGTACAGGAACTGAGGTCAAGTGTTACCAGTTGTATGAAGCCTCAAACAGCAGGTCCAGTAGAACCGGTCTGAACCTGCTGAACGGGCCTCGTTGGACCCGTCAGGAGTTCCAGGTATTCGTAGTTCTTGGCTGCAGAGAAACGCAGCCTGTAACAGATTTAGGTTCTTCAACAAAAACGCACCATCAGAGTCCTCTAGACCCATCGCAACACTCCAGAACCAACAAACATGAAGCAGCAACGTTTGGCACCAGAACCAGCAGAGCAGCAGCGTGAAGGTCAGAACCCAGAGAGTTTAAGGTCTAAAAACGGCTCTGGAGGAGTTTTCAGTCCACAGATCGGACCTCAGATCTGATAGAACCTCCTAAGAACATTATTAGACCTGAAGCTAAGTGGGAACAAACGGTACTGGATCAGAACTTCCAACTGGGCCCTATTTTTACAGGTTTTTCTCTCAAACAGCCAGACTTGTTCCTCTCTGGAAGTGTTTGGACCAACAGTTTCCGGGCTTTCTTCACATCCTGTTCATCTGCTGGACATGAACAGGAACAACAGCTAAAGTCCAAAGGAAACCTGTGGAAGACCCACAGGAAGCCCAGAGAACTGCTGGACCAGAACACAGACAGGATGGGCCGGATCAGAGGAAGGAAAGTCTGAGAGCAGAGCTTTGGATCAGAACATCTAACACCTGCTGTTTGTTTACGGCTCTGGACAGATTAGTAAACAACCAAACAGATTAAAATCTGACCTGACATCAGTGGAAGTTAAAGTACGGAGCTCAGAGAACAGAACTCCTCAGCGGTCTCGGCTCGACCCGATACTGAAGTTTTTTTAATAACGCGTTAAACTACATGTAGGTCTGTCCTCCTCATCTCTGAGTTTTCAGTCTCTTGAGGCCAAGAAGAGTCCAGAACCGTCTGACCCAAGAGGTTCCCATGCTTCTGGTTCTGGTGAACTGACCCTTTAACAGCACATTGGACCTTGAAATGCTTTGCAGCAGACGCCTGCTGACTGTTTGTATCACGGCTGTTAGTGTTAATGATGATGATGATGAAGACAGACTCAGCTTAGGACTTCTGACATCAGAGCTTGTTGCCATGACAGCAGCATCCATCCAAGGGGAGGTCAGAATGGACGCTTGTGACAGAATGAAGCTGTTAGATTGTGGTGAACAGAATCAGAACCAATCCTGAATGGACCTCCCTCTGGATTCAGAAGCAGGTTCTGTTTCCACTTCTTTACTCCGAGCAGCAGCACATAGAACCATCTGTTCACACCGGCTGGAAGAGCAGGGTTCGGTCCTCCCTCTCTGCGGTCGGGATGATGCTGGGGAGCAGCGGCAGCGAGCCCCTGGGCAAGGCACCGCCCGTCCTCAGGTAACAGGAGACAATCTTCTGGTCCAGACGCAGCTGGCGGGGGATGCTGTCCAACGGTTTGGGATCCAAATCCAGGATGGAGACGGAGGAGGAGAAGGCCTGAGGTCTGAAGTCCCTGAGATGCTTCTGAGAAGAGAGGCTGGAGGAGGAAGAGGAGGGTTAACGACCAGGAGGAAGGTCAGCTGGCGTCAACAATAAAACATCACAAAATTACTGTTTTTAAAGATGAACTAATTACGCAACCAGAAACACATACGGGTCCACATTGAATGTCTTCAATTAAAAAGACTGAAATTACTTAATATCTCCTTAATTGTAATAAACTTACTAAATACTATTAATGTATAAAATATTATTAATGTTTCCTGAGTAAAAAATGTTTTTCTCATCAGTTTTTTCACTCCTCTGTGTCTGATCGTTCCTGGAAATGGGATCTTATCGTACAACCAGCAGCTGATTTTTTTTAGTTTTGAATTCATAAATAAATGTAGACATCTTGAGTTTTGTTTGCCTTTCGTTGCTGTTTTATTTAATATAGTGCATCATCTAAAGAAATACAAATAATATGCAGATAAACACTGTGGAATCATATTTTGCATGTCCGATGATGGCGTCAGACAAGCAGTTTAATGGAGAGAATGTAAAATATGTAATTCTCTAAGAAAAGTTGTTAAACAATTTTTATAAGATGTATTTTGTTGTTCTTTGATTATTTAGGGATAAAAACAGATACTTTCAGTATTATGATTTCATTCTTTATGGCGACCTGGATGAATGTCTGGTTGCATACATGAAAACGAGCTGATGGTCACGGATCGTGACTCCGACCATTAAACTTCTACTCATCCAAAGACAGAACGTTAATACATGAAGCGCAGCCTCACTCTTCATCATCGTTCTCCTCTTCAACGCCCGGAACAAGAGCAGCCATGATGGAGCAATCTTTAGCAGTCATGGCGATCCGGTACTGATGGACCTGCAGAGAAGAGGAGAGAACTGGACAATTAAGATCTGAGCAAAGAAACTTCTCAGCGTCTCACTATCGGTTATGTCCATTTGGGTCAGAACCAAAGAAAGTGACCTTTGCTGCAGCGTACTCCACAGAACCGTCGTCCTCCATCGAACTTTTCTGCACTTTCTCCAGGAAGTTCTGGTCGTACGGCCCGTCTATCTGGAGGCGGGTCCTGGCGCAGAGAGAGAGAGACATCAGAGCCAAAGCTTACCTGTCAGGACAGTTTTTCCTTCAGGTTCTGGTCGACCCGGTCCTACCTGTCCTTAGGGAAGTCCTGCAGGTGTTGTTCCAGTCTGCGGTACAGAGGATAAAGTCCTTCGATGTCCAAAGTGTCCAACATCTGAGTCTGAAGGATCCTGGACAGAACGCTGTTGGTGGGTAAACCCTGAGATCCTGCATCACAGAGACAGACGGCTTCATTAAACCAAGCTGACAGCGGTTCATCAGAGAAAGAATTTCAGGAACTCCTTTTGATCGACAAGATCAAAAAAGATCCTAGAAAACTGTTGTGCGATATGCCATGATCATGGTTGTTGGACATTGAGAAGCACTGTCCATATTTCCTGTTGACATGATGACCGGAGAAGAAAATACAGTTTTGGTGAATAAACAGCTGTAAGACCTCTACAAGCCTATGTTTGACTTGGAGCTAAATGATTTTCGGAAATAAGCTTATATTTTGAACAGAAGTTGTAGTGAATTTATTCCATGTATGTGCAGAATTAACTGTTTGACCATGATTTCAGCTAGAATTATCTTTCATTTATTGTTCTAACACAAAGCTAGTAGGGCGTGTGTTCATAAACAATATATAACAGCCCAAGTAATATCTAATAAAATAAGATATTTACCTCCCCTTCTGGGGAGGGCAATAAGTAAAGTATGAAAAATATAAATTCCCAGCTGGCTGGGAATCGAATGTAAGTGATTCACAATATAATTATGGCATCCAACCTGGATTGGCATTGAATATAAATCCACAACAAAACCAAAACCTTTGGAGGAACAACTCAGCAATAAAATTTGGACCCAACTCTGGATTCAAACAGAAATCTGGGCTGAATGTCCTCATTTTTGGAATAAATGCTGAAATGTTTTATTAACTCTGAATAATTCCACTTTAATATTTCGTTTTAAAACGGATTATCTTTTTTTTTATCTCTCTGTCTGATTGAAGAAACGAGCTCTGATGATCTTTAGTTCTGCTTGAGGAGAAACTGACCATGCCGAACTCGCTCAGTGTTGAACAGACTGGCCTCACAGAAGCTCCGCCCCCCTCCTGCTCTGTCCGTCACCTGACCTCCATCTCCTCCCGAGGCGCTCAGCAGGGCGTTCACCAGGACCTTCAGACACAGACCCAGCTTCACTGTTAACTCAAACGTCTGATTTCTGTTTCAGAAACAGTTTTGACCCACCAGTCCGACTGGACCTGAGGCAGCTTTACCTGGATGAAGTCGTTCAGGACGGCTTTGGTGGTAATGTGACCATTGATGCGGTTGTTTCCACGCAGGAAGTAGGGTCTGAGGTGATGCAGCAGAGCGTTCAGGTCGGGCGACTCGTCGCTGCCCTCTTTACTGCTGTAAATACACTGACCCCCCTGGAACACAGAAACAGATCTGAGTCCGACTGCTGCAGAACCTCACAGCTTTCCACAGTTTCTGCTTTAGACCGATTAGGTTTTATTAAAAAATAAACACCTTCGGCCCAGATAGCTGAGAAACAAGACAATAAAAGAGCTTCATAGTCTTTTAAGGTGAGAATGACCCATAGAACAAAGACTTATTAAAAAGTTTGACCAAAAATGTCAAAGAACCAAAGTTCTGCTTCACCTTAAACACTTTGAGGTTGTTCTGTGGTTCTTCTATCAGGTGCCGGATGGCGAAATGCATCCTCTGTCTGTTTCTGCACAGGAGAAGAAGAAATCAAACCAATCAGATCAGGAGACAACAAGCCTCTGGAGAACACAGAACCAGGAAAGCAGACTGACATTTGTCTCTGTAGAAACACACGGACAGTGAAAACATCATCAGTGGACTCACCCTGAGAACAGGTCCAGAGGACAGTATAGACTGCGTCTCTTCCACTTCCCATTGGCCACCTGGACAGATGAGACAGAGAACTGATTAAAAACTGTTCGGTACAGAGAAGAAAAGAGAAGCCATGTTCAACCATCCAACCTGCTAAAGGAAGTATCATCAAAAACTGATCACACCTTGACTGAGAACATCTAAAACCAGGAACAGGTCCATTAGGTCCTTTCTTAAACAGGTCCTTGACAGTTTTTTAAAGTTTTCTGAGTTTCATTTTTGAGCATTTCCAGTTGAGGTCATACTGAGTGCATGACCAGGCTGTGCATTGTTTCTTCTTCTGTGTTATAAGACAGTGTCTTGCCCACGACCAAAATCTAATAAATTAGAAAATATTCACAAGGAGTATATCATGTTAATCTAATTAAAATTAAAATAAATCCAATTGGGAAAAAAGTTAAAACGATTAAATGTGGTTTATTTAACATAAGACCTCTTTCCTCAAAAAGTCTGCTAGTTAATGACTTGATTTGTGATAATCACATTGATTTATGTTGCCTTACAGAAACTTGCCGGCAGCAAGAGGATTTTGTAGCATAAATGAGGAAACTCCTTCTAGTTATTTAAATTTTCACATTCCCAAAAGTTTTTAGATGAGTTTTCAGGGTTCCTCTCTGATTTGGTGTTAAATACTCAAAGGGTCATCATAGTCAGAGATTTTAACATCCATGCTGACATTGAAGGCGATAGCTTAAGAGCAGCCTTTAATGCTATCTTAGACACTATTGGCTTTGTTCAAAATGTGAATAGTCCCACACATTCTCATCTTCATACTTTGGATCTTGTGCTAAAATATGAAATATAGAAATAACAGTATTTCCTTAATACCCTGTCCTCTCTGACCAATTTTTAATAAACTTCAGGATTCATTTAACAAAGTTTTCCTCCCCCTAAAGAAGGTATCACTTCAGCAGATCATTATCAGATAGTGCAGTTTTAAATTGCCTTAGACAATGCAGTGTAGTTAAAATCCTTCAGCTGATCCTAAATGCTGCAGTCAGGGTTCTGACAGAAATTAAAAAGAGAGATAATATCTCTCCTATCCTGGCTTCTCTTCATTGGCTTCATATTAAATCCAGAATAGAATTTAAAATCCTCCTTCTCACATATAAAACCTTAAATGACCAAGCTCCATCTTTTATCAGAGATATGATTGTTCATGTGTCCCTAACAGTGTCTCAGGTTATCCTGAGCTATCTCTATAGTTATGCTGCTATAGGCTTAGACTTCTGGAGGACATGGGGATCCCTATTTCATCATTGTGCTTCATTCTATCTCTATTCTCCCACTCTGCAGAATCTGTTAGTTCAATCTCTAACGTTCTGCTCTCTGCTTTTTCTCATAGTAGCTTCATCTGGTCTGTTCCTGTTTGGCTGTGACTCCATCCTGGAGAGAAATATCAGCTGTGCTGCTGCCATCAACACCTTTGTCTCTAGATGTTGGAGGTGTCGTTTTTTTCAGTGTAGTCCTGTTTTGCTGACTGTGACTAACTGGATGTGTTCTCTTCATCCTCTGACATGGGAGCTGGCTCGGAGCTGGCTGTGTGTTTCTGATTTTTTGTGTCTCTGCTTCTGTCTCCTTGAACCCCAG